TGGCTCTTTCTTGGTGCCTGGCCTCCCTTTCTGCGTCATTCCTGTAGGTGTCTTCCTGGTGCCAGCAGTGGACATGGCTGGGGGTGGATGTGCTCACCTCTGCAGCCACATGGTCAGCCCCTAGGCCTACCCAGTAAGGAAGCACTTTTCTTGCTTTTTGCTGGCCCTTCCATTTCCACAGTCTAAGCAAGCAGGGTGTGTCTGGACAGGCTTAACATCAGAAATCTTCTCAGAATTGCTTTCTCTCTGAAGTGCACTCCTGTCCAGACGCAGCCTCTTGACTTTCCTGGCATGTCCACGGTATCGAAGGCCACACAGCCTGTGAGCACACTCTGCAGTATGTTCCACTGTGCAGCCACAGCTGACACACCCATGACACTCACTAAGTCAGCTTTCTGTGCTGGAACAGCTCCATGTTAGCCTGAGGGTGACTATTTAAAAGAAGTGAAAAGCCAACATTACTTCTGATGCTTTCAACGGTTCAATTGTTCAATTAAATATTACTAGAATTCCCCACCCCCACATGCCCCTTTTTTAAATGAAAGTGTGAAAAGGGCACTGGAAAGGGGTTACTGGTATTTGCATAATTTGGAAAAGTAGAAGACATAAAGTCTATACTAATTTTGGCTCTGCATGATTAAACATGAAATATTGATTATTGCTCTCTGTAACAGAATTTATGAAGCCAGCAGGCTGCAGTGTCTACACAAAGTGATTCTGATGCTTTGCCCTGGACCTCGGTGGCTGTAAATGACGCTGCTTGGTGACAGCTGGAGGAGGGCATTCTGATGCACAGCCTCAGAGCCACATTTCCCAGATTAGGCCAGCAATGACCCAGCTGCACAGCCCGACTTCAGGAAATTAAATTGGAGGGCGTCCAAACCTCTGTTGAAATAACCGTGTGAGTTACAATGCTTCTGTGGGCCTTGTTATAATGTAAATGTGCTTTACAATTTACTGCCATTTCCCTTCTCCCCTACTGTGAATTCGGGCATTAATAGTCATCTCATATATTTAAGGCAAAAAGGCGTCAAACTGAAAATGCAAGGTTCATGCTTTTTCCCTTTAGAAAGCAAGGACTGAATTCCATTCTTTCTTTTTGCCCCCCCCTCTTTTTTTTTTGCAAAAAGAGCATAGGTTTTGTTTATGTATTATGCATTAATGGTTTTTTATGGCTGGCAGACCTGTAAATTTCACACAAGGAGGTTACCTGGCAGCTAAACACAAATTTCTTTGGGAGGAAAACAGGGGCTAATAGGACATCAACAGCGCATTTAAAGGATCATTCTGGAAAGTTATAGGCACATGTGAGGCAGTACACTTGAAAGACTTGCCTGCTTCTAGCACCTCGAGGACATTTTGGATGTCTGATGCATGCAGAGGCTGTGACTGCTCTGGCAGTGACTACCACCACCTCATGAGATGCCAGGTGAGCACTGGCCTTGCCATGCTGGGGCCTCACGGTCAGCCAACTTGCAAACTTAGGAACATAAGGTATGGCAACGGGAACTGCTGCAAGAGCAGGTTCTTTACTCGTGGGTGAACCATGCTGTGTTCCAAGGTGGCAGGACACAAGGTCTCAACTCCACATGTGAGAGGGCCGAGCAGCCGAGCTCACCTGAGCAGATGCCAGGGAGGTAAAAGCCCAGTTCTGACTAAGTCATTGTCTGTGGACCAGATGGTCTCAGACCTCAAATTCTCCTGGCATAGATGACATAAGGGTGCTTCAGGAAAGAAGCACCTAAAACCAGCCACCAGATGGCCCTTTGCCCTAATCTGCCTGAGCTCCTGCTCACTGCAATCCAAGCAGAGGATCCAGGACCACCTGACTGTGGCCAGCCCAAAGTAACGATGAGAAATACCCTTTGGGATTAAGGGTCCTTCTCTCCTTCCTTGAGGATACAGCATTGTCTCAAGAACTTATCCCAAAGCTACGGCCACAGAGTGAAGCCTTAGCTCATTTCAGTCTAACCCCTTCCGTAAAATCTAGAATACAAGAAATTATGACTATCAGTAATGATGTTAAGGGGATCGCTGTATTCAAAATTAGTCCACTTAACAGCAGGACAACCAGCTGAGATTGAAATGCTGGGCACAGATATTTTTGCATCTTATATATTTCTGCATTCTGAAAAAGAGAGAAAAATCCCAAGACCATGCTTCGAACTGAGAACTCAAATACAAACAAGCACATGAACCTGCAAATGAACACTCTCAGAATGCAGACAGAACAGCAAACATGACAAGTAACTCCAGCCAACTCCAGATTTTCTGGCCAAGGACAGCAATTGAGCACAGGTAATCAGAACTCCATGCGACCCTCAGGGTGCTTGCCCCTGACTGGAGTGCATTTTCTTCTGGTGTAGCAGATCACCTGGATTCGATTTTTTGTTTAGTCCAGTTGAAACATGAATTTGCAATTCCTATGTATTCACCCAGCCGTGCTGAGGAAGCAGCCTAGGGGCATGCTGGGAAGGGGCCTCCAGTGGGACCTGCAGCCTGGCTCTCCCTCGTCTCCCCTTCCCTGCCTTCCACTCTCCCTCAGGACTCTTACCTTCGGCTGCCTGATTGCCTTTCTTTAAGTACATTTCCAATAATTCAATTCTTCTGTATAAACCCTATTGCTAGCCTCCATGAGAACACTCTTCTGGATTAAGAATACTCCCGAGTGCCCACCCCTGGTTCTTCTCCTCTTGTCCTTCAGAACTCATCTCGGCCTGTGATCTGTTCTACTTCCGCATTTCCTTCTGCAGTCATTTCTTTGAGCTACTGCCATCACTACTGACATCCATTGAATTTAGTAGGTGCCAAGCACGTTGCATAAATTACCTTCGAAAAAGTATGATTCTAGCCCCATAAATGCAGCCAAAGTTGCAGTTGTTACTCCCACTTCATGGATGAGAAAACAGGCACCCTGAGTGAGGCAACTTGTCCACGGACTCACAGCAGGAACCAGGTTCTGACTGGAGTGGTCTCCACTTCTGCTCTCTGGGGCAAATGAACACTCTCAGAATGCAGACAGCCCTGTGGTGTCTGCAAAGTGCTCAGACTTGCCATTGACCTGGAGGGGTTACCTTGGCTGTGCAATCCTACACATCCGGTCAGCTCTCTCCAGGTCTGTTTTCTTGTTGGTAAGGTGATGATGTCAGAGCCCTATGCACTGCCATGAGGGGTAACCAGAATCATACTTTAAAGTGCCTAGGTGACTTTCAGTGCTGCCGCCCTAGGGAACTCCCTAGTGTCCTACTCAAGACAGCAGTGAGCTCTCTCCCTTGTCTTATCCCAGGGGTGCCTGGCTCTGCTCTCTCCTGGATGTGGGACCCTGGCAGTGGGGCCTCTATCGTTTTACAAACACTAAATAAAGTTAGTGTCTGTAAAACATAGACACTAAATATACCAGACTCCAAGGTTGTAGTGAAGTTAGAAATTCAGGCCATCAGTGCTGAGCCAGGCAGCAGGTGCTCACCGGTGCTATTTTCGTGGTTGTTTATGTTCTTATTGCATCTCTCCATCCCCTTCTACACCTGGCATGCACCTAGTCACCTGTGTGTGGCTTTCTCTGAAACCAGTGCTGAGGATCCTGTTTCCCAGCTGTCCCTGGAACGTGTCCTCTTCTTCCATGGTCCTTATAGGATTTGCTGCTACCAGAATGAGCAGACCAACATGACAGCCTCATCAGAACATCACCACATGGAACGCCCCCCTGACCTCACCTAGCAGAGCCCACTCCCCTGGGCCTGTGGGACCTCAGGAGAGGAGGTGAGACCTGCTCCATCTGTTCCTCCACCTCACTGCTCTTAACCCTCTTAGACATCAACATCCCAGGCTAATAACTCCATGCTTGGAAAATGGAATAGACAGTCAGGCATGAGTTTAAATAAACAATGATAAAGAGAGTCTTTATAAAGAATAAAAGAATTGTGCTGCAATAAACATTGATGTGGCCATGTCTCTGTAGTATGCTGTTTTTAAGACCTTTGGGTATAGACCAAGGAGAGGAATAGCTGGGTCAAATGGTGGTTCCATTCCCTGTTTTCCAAGTAATCTTCATATTGCTTTCCATATTAGCTGCACCAATTTGCAGTCCCACCAGCAGTGTATGAGTGTGCCTTTATCCCCACATCCTCGCCAATACTTATTGTTGTTTGTATTCTTAATAGCTGTCATTCTGACTGAAGTGAGATGAAATCTTAGAGTAGTTTTGATTTGTATTTCTCTAATAGCTAGAGATGTTGAACATTTTTTCATATATTTGTTGATTGATTGTATATCGCTTCTGAGAAGAGTCTGTTCAGTTCCTTGGCCCATTTATTGACTGGGTTATATGTTGTTTTGGTGTTAAGATTTTTGAGTTCTTTATATACCCTAGAGATTAGTGCTCTTTATGGCAGAACAATTTGCAATAGCTAAACTGTGGAACCAACCTAGATTCCCATCAGTAGATGAATGGATAAAGAAAATGTGGTATTTATACACAATGGAATATTATTCAGCAATAAAAGAGAATGAAATCATGACATTTGCAGGTAAATGGATGGAGTTGGAGAAGATAATGCTAAGTGAAGTTAGCCAATTCCAAATAACCAAATGCTGAATGTTTTCTCTGATATAAGGAGGCTGATTTTTAGTGGGGTTGGGAGGGGAAGCATGTGAAGACTTTGCTGTATCTAGATAAACTCTAGATACAGCAAAGGGGAAGGAGAGGATTGGTGGGGGTGAGGGGTGTAAAAAAGATGGTGGAATGAGATGGACATCATTTCCCTGAGTACATGTATGAAGACATGAATACTATGAATATACTTTGTATATTCTTAAGAGATATGAAAAAATGTGCTCTATATATGTAATATGTATCAATACATTCTGCTGTCATATAACAAATTAGAATAAAAAATAAAATTAAAAAAAAAGAGAGCAGAAGTAGTCACAGGGTGTAGCTTGTCATCCAGTAGCCTGGCAGCCCTCAGTTCCAGGGGCACTGGGAAAGCGCAGCTCCCCAGGGGCCCTCTCCATCCCCTGATGCCAAGACTCTCAGCCAGTGCCAGTCTGGAGCCTTCTTTAGAAAGCAGTTCTTAAGCAAGCTTAGCTTGATTTCCTAACTTGCAACAACAAAAGGCTTCCTACAAGTGAATTTATGGGGAGATAGGAGGTTGGGGTGACCACAGACCAGATGTGGAGGACGAAACAGAAAAGCATCGAGTGCTGCAGGTGCTACCACAGGCTGCACAGGGACCTCCTCCTGTGGCCTGAGTGTTGGAGCAGAATCTCATCCTTCCCTTCATCCTACATGTTCAAACTCAGGCACCCTACCTCTGACGGACCAGGTGTGTCAGCCACCATAGCCCAAGCATGATTTTAAAATGGAGTACAAAGTTTGTGTTAATTTTACAGCAAAAACAGAAGTCCCCAAATAAAGTTTAGGTTTATATATGTCTATCCCACCCCAGTGTAAATAAGCTCCCCAGAAAATACTGAAAAATAAGCACACACACACACAGCAATAACACACACACTCAGTATGTTTTGCCTTTGAGATTTCTCGGAGAAGAAAATTGATAAGCACTATCCTAGTTAGGCTGGAAAGTGAAAATCTATTTCAAAATTAAGATATGGTGAGCAGTGTGTGATAGTGCAATTTCTATCTACAGTGGACAAAGTTTAAAAATCATTTGTGTAAAGGTGACATTTTCTGTGAAGTGTCGCAGGCTGTTATTGTATTTCCTCGGGTGCTCCCTGGTGGTGCTCCCTTGTGGGAGGTGTGTGTGCCCGAGGCCTTCGGTGTGCACGGTGTGAAGCAAGTGTCACTGTTGCACCAGTTACTCTCCAGGCCCAGCAGACCCTGAGCATTCCGAGCTCCGTGTATCATGGACACACCAAGAATTGTGAATTTTAATTTCCAGCATAATTATGGGCATGCAGTGACAACTCTGTTAAGAGGAATATTCAAGAACTATTACTTAAAAGAAGGAACACCCACCTTGGTGGAATGGAGGCCAGGACACAGAACTCAAGAAAGAAACAGGAGAGGGAGCAGAAACGCCTCCAGCTCCTCCAGCCACAAAGTCAGAGCTCCACTCCTCACCTAGCAAACACAGCATCCGGTGTTGACAGCACCCAGGTGAGGGCCTCAGGGGGCAGCAGAGGCCACACAGACACAGCCTCTCCTGTCCTGCTGCTGCCCGAAGAGCCCAACACAGCCAAAGGGCAAGAGCTCTGAGGAGTCCAGGGCTGTAGAAGGCTGCTGTTCACAGCTGGTGTAGACATTTTGAGGTTCCAGATGGTGCAGATTCATCTGATAAGCCTGGCTCTTGTGTGCTGACGAGAGTGAAAGGTAGGGGTGGGGAAGGCCAGCCTGAGCTGGGGCAGCTGCTCCTACCTGGCTGACCAGGACAGTGGGTCAGCACTCAGAGAGCAGAGAAGACCATGGAGCTGCCACCAAAGTTCAGCCATTGCATCGCTAGCTGTGGACTGGGGACTTATTCAGTAAGATGACATCCATCAGAGCCAGAGACAGAGCAGGCAGACTTGGGGACAAAAGTAGCATACATCTGCTAGCATCCACTGAGCCCCACATGGTGTCCGGGGACATCAAGGCAGATGGTGGAGAACAGGTCTTTCTTCCATAGCTCCATCCCTTCCAAACTGTGTGCTAATCCTCTCGAGTAGACAGGCCACACAAGGGAAAGTGATTCTGTGTTTATAGAGAGAGAATGTTGCTTTTCAAAACCAACCAGAACTTCCCAGTGAGGTGACATGTGACATCCCCACTAGCACACTATTATATTTGACCATGTTAGTGATTGCACCAAATTGCTCCATATCACAGAGCCAAGCTACCTGGATAAAGGGGACTTTATTCTGAAACAAGATATATTGGAATCAGTATTTCCCTTCAAACAGCTAGAGCAAATGTGCAGAGAGTGTCCTGATCCCAAGGAGGAAATGAAACCTCCATTGAGCTCTCTGCTGACACAAGTCCCCCCACATCTTCTAGACATGTGACCTGCATGTGCTCAAGATATTGACACAAGTGTCATCTAAAAGCCAAGTGGGGATAGGCGTGGGTGGGGTGAGTGATCTTCCAAAGCTGGAGGATTAGGAAGGTGAGAGGAATTGAGACAGAAAATTATTAGAACAGAAGCTGGAAGGGCATCTACCAGGCAGCGCTGCCCATGTCCAGGAGCAGCACCACGCTTGGCGCAGAGCCACCCTCTGGCTCCAACCCCAGCCTGGCGACCACCCTTCTGTCTTCTCCCTGTTCATGTGGAATGGTTTTGCTGTTTCTGTTAGTGTGAAACCATCCTGCTCAGTGGCTGAAAGTCAGCATCGCCTCCCAAGCCCTCGGACCCCTCACACCTGCTCTGAAGCACCCATATGTCACTTGTAAGGCTCTTCTGGAAAGGCGCTCCTTCTCTGGGTAAAAGCTCCCTCCACAGTCTCAGGGCAGATCATTCTCCTTCGGTGCATGGAAGACTGTCGGAGTCCTCTGAGGACAGTTCCAGCCAGAATCACCAAGAACACATGCACCCCAGGCTCCAGCCAGGTAGTCTGCTGTGGACCAGGACCTGGCCGTGGACAGCTTGGTGTCCATGATGTCACTCTTGGACCCAAGGCATTGGGTCCAGCATTGTCTCAGGTGTAAAGTGGGCATTGCCTTAAGGAAGAGCGTCCGGGTGTTTCAACCCACCATCCTATGCATGGAATAATAGAGATGTGTGCTCTAGGTAAGAGGGTCTCAGAAATGTCAATATAAGTGGCTATAAACTTTAATAGACTTGGAATTCAATTAGCTACCATCTCATGGTGGCTAAATAATTTATGGTAATTGCCAACTCATTAGACTATAATTCACCACAGCCAACCCCTGGATTTCCTGATACCTTTTTAAAACATGCATTCTCAAGATGATGACTGGCATTTTTCACGTTTATAGATACCAAAATTGTCTAATTGTAAGAATTTAGAATGCATCCCACTATCTGACCCAGTCTGGAGGTTTTTCCTGAAAACCCTGAGCCACGTGCCAACTCCTTAGGCCTCCAGCTCCTGCCTTGGAGGCAATCTACGGTGTGTGCCTAAATGCTCCCATTCACCCTGTTCCATAAACAAAAGCAAATGCAGCACACCTGCCCTGGACATGCACAGGGCACGCCCACGGCTCTCACCCAGGATCCCCAGGGACATAAGGCAATTCCCCTAACCATTGGCAGGTGGAGAACAGAGCTTGACTTACACACCAGAAGCCCCTTACATGCTCCTGTCTGGTTACAGTTCCTTCCTTCTCAGAACTAGCCAGCACAAGGTACAGAGTAAGGACTTCCTTACATTTCTCTGTGGAGCTTTCTCACCCAATTGTATGTCCTGAAATACTATGGCTTCGTCTCCCCTGCTTCTAAAATTCATTATTTGGAAATAGTTATAAACACACAGAAAGTTTCAAGAACCACGGAGAATGGTCCCCACCTGCTGCAAAAGCACAATTGCTCACAGTAAGAACATTCTTATTGTGAGCTCCTAACCTTTATGATTCCCTGAATTGTAGGGGTGAAGGAGCATCTTCTCCCATGCTGGCTCCTGATGCAAGGGCCTGGAAGACCCCTGGATTGTCCTTTTATATGCTAATAAGATGTCCTATGCCTGGGCTCCAACAGCTTCAGGATTGGGGCTGGTCCTTTGTTATTGCTGATGTTCCCCACTGGTTAGTGGATAATCATGGAATATGTAATGGAATCTCCATAAAACCCTGAACAACAGGGTTGGGAGATCTGTGGAGGGAGAGCGCCTGGAGAGGACACAGAAGTGGAAGTGCCACACACACACACCCTGTCCTGAGGTGCCTCCCACTTGGCTGCTCCTGTGTTGTGGCCTTCATAATAAACCAATGGTAGAAAACGCAGTGTTTCCAGAGCTTTGTGGATGAATTTTCCCACACCAGGAGGGGCTCTGG